AAGAGCTTATTTAAAAGTTATTGTCAAAATATAGAACCACTTTGAAAGTCAGTGTTAAAAATGAAATTCGGATTAAAATTAACTACCTGAACCTAAATACCGGTTCAGACTAGCCTAACCAAAATCTGTTGAACATTTAATTAGTATTCTTTATGGATATATATTTAGTTATTTTTCGTCTAATAAACATATATATTAATCGCTAAAAGAAGATATCATTCAGCATTTACACTAGATTTATTATGCACTGTAATAAAACAGTTAATGTTGGAAATAAAGAGGCTGAAGATGTATCGTATATTTATCATAATACATTATTAAATCAAGATTTTTAAGGCCTTACTTTATCCCCCTCCCCGGGTCAGTAGTACGTTTGCAGACTTACGACGCTAAAGATCGGGTTTCGATACTCGTAGTGGGCACAGCACAGATAGGCAATTGTGTAGATTTGTGCCTAAATACGAACAGTCCTTAGTTTATGGAAATTCAATTTTAAATAGAGTATCCAACCCATATGCTTTCTATTGGCAATTTTTTAGACCTGATGCTAAGATAGGAATCAGAAACAATTTAATCGCTACTAAACGTGATCACCTATATTTTTATCGAATAACTGTTGTTGCGCAGAAATAATTCAGACTAAAAATAATAATGGAGCCTAATTTCTCTGTAGAATTAGTAAAACTAGTCCTGACGCAGGACTAGTGCCAAAATGTGGCATAACGTAAAACAGATATACATAAAGTTTTCATTTCACGTGTGTTAAATTATCCAGTATTGCTTATTATCTGTATTTTTATTGTATACATAGGTTCAATGAGTTAAAGAGATATGTGCTTTCGTGAAATATTTACCAATATGTTAATGATAAAGTAAATAGATCAAGATATAACCTTTGTCGGATTTCAAACATAACAATATATTTCTACGTAGGTAAAACATTTCCGTTTATACTCTGTGAATGATAAATATTTCTACGTGAAGAACGCTTTGAACTGCAATAAACACAACGAATTGGAACTATTTGTTTTCAGTTCATATAGTACACGAAGGTTTTCTGAACATTTCTCCTGGCTACACCAAAATAAACCAGCATTTTTTTCGCTCACAGTCGTCCCTACTGATATTTATAACACCTTACTCAAGAAGTCGCGTGAATTTACTTCTGAAGGCTTGTCTTACGTAGGTTTCCAAGTCCCTCATAGATGCATGATGACGTCATGAGATACTGATCAGAACCAATGATAAAGTATCTAAAGCTGAAGATGAGGACAAAATATTTAGCAAAAATAGCCTTGCTTTTCCTGAGAATTCAAGGCCGTTGTTCTGCTCAATACAAGTAATTATGTAATTTATTTGGTAACATAAATGCTAAACGCTGAACAACAACCAAAAGTTTTTATCTCAAGAAGATCACGTGAACGTTTTAAAATCTGCAGAAGAAATGCACTGAGCTAAATTTCCATTACACACTTTTTAATACCAATACTAAGATTTACATTCGGCATTATTTTTTTTCTTAAGTTAAGTTATTGCGTTAAGAATCTGGGGTCGCTTCTACATACATATTTTGGGCCAGGTTAAGGTGCTCGACAGTGAATACACTATAGTGTTCATAGTTTGCGAACACCGTACTTTTTTGAGTCCGGGTATGACAATCAAATCCTACTCTTCGGTCAGAAAATACTATAAAAGGTTTGACAGTGAAATCCATTGTAGCATTGCACGAGAAACTCTGAAACAAACAAACGACAAGGAATTAAAACAGTTAACGTGCGAAAACATTTATAGGTTCAGTGTTTTCTTGTCGAGGTATGTTAACGACATGTTTGTATTTCTAAATTTTGAATTTTCAGTTGGATAGGCACTAGAAAAGTAAAATGCTGATTAAAGTTACCCACATATTTAAAGTCACAAGTGATATTAACGCTCACAGGTTAACGGTCCATTGCAAAATCTCAGCAGCTTAGTGAATTAAAATGGATTTAGTGGTAAACTAAAAGGTTTGTAAATAGTTTATTTGTAGCTTCTAACAACTGGTTTCAGATAGAATTAGAATTATAAAGACGAACTAAATAAATCTAACAAAATTACCTGGAAGAACAGGTGACTGCTGTGAGTAATCTGGTTTAGAAAGAAAGTAATAATCGAAAGAAAATTAATAAAATATTCAGTTTGAAAGTTACATTTGGTATTCTTCAAATTTGATTGCCCGAGGTTTTAAATCAAGACGTTGCCATGACTAGTAAGTTACATATATACAGGACTGTCATGGCCTAGAAGCTAGGGCGATAAATTCACAATCTGTGAATTGCGGGATCGAACCCCATCACTGAACATGCTCACCCTTTCAGTCTAGAGAACGTTAAAATGTAAGCCAATCCTACTATTCATCGCTAAAGAGTAGCATAAGAGTTAGCTGTCGATGTTGTTGACTAGCTGCCTTTCTTCCAGTCTATCATTTCAAACTTAGGGACGGCTAGCGCAAGTAGACCTAGAGAAGCTTTGCGCGAAATTCATCAAACAACCACATTTATACAACTCTTCATTGAAAACGTCTTTATACAGCATTAAATATTCATTGTAACGTCACTAAAGTGAATGTTATACAAAGATTATAAGGAATTCGTGCACCAAATTTGGGATAATTTGTGTTAAAATAGAACTTCGTGAAAACATTTTATCGATTAAATACTAATAAATATATCTAAAAATCTGAAAGAAAACATCGAGTTTTATATCGCTTCTTATGAAAGAAAAGCATTCGCCGGTAACATCAGTTACAATTTCACGTGATATAAAAGTTAATGGCGTATACCAAGAAAACACCTATATGGTGTTCAAGACACATCTTCGTCCATGGATTTTTAGAAAATGTGAAACTATCAACAACACGGGAAACCTTGTTCTTGTTCTGTGTACTTTCTGATATTTAGACTACTCAAGTTTTTATTTTGAGTTTAAGGTAAATGATTGTAAAAGATATTTCAAGTGTGAAACTGAGATTTCAAAAATCTTTTACACGCTTTACAAATATTATAAATGCTATCACGCGATGAAAAATGCCGATGCGAAACACGAAACGTTTGTGGTTTCTGAAAGTTAAGCATTCTTTTATTGGACTTTCGATTCTTATATGCCGTTTAAGATGTTGAAAATTGAGGCAATTTTCCATTAGAATTTTAGTAACTGGTACAAAAAACTACTCCTACACTAAAACAAGAACTTATGGTTACATCAATCCATATCAGTTTACAAAGCAAAAAGTTGTGTCTATAGATTTCAACATTAAATAATTATTGAAACAAAGCCAAACTATTTTTCAAATTATCTTTTTCTGACAAAATTAATTATATGAATAAAATGAAACACCATGTTACAGCAAATACAAACTTTACCATATCTACAATATATTTTAATAAAATTAAAATTAAACACACATGTATCAATGCATAAGAAAAACTTAATTATTTTTTATTTACTTCTTTGTAGTTAAGCACAAAGCTACACAATTGGTTATCTCTGTTGTGCTCACCATGGATATCGAAACTCGGTTTTTAGCGTCATGAGTCTGCAGGCTTATCACTGCGCCACTGGGGGGCAAACTTAAGGAAATGGTAACAATTGAAGAAAAAGAAAAACCAGCTTTGTAAGTTACACAGTGTAAAAATGATTAAGCTAAATATAGAGTAAAATAAAGATAAACAAAAAAATATTTGTAGAATTTAAACTGTTACGCTTAGCTAGAAAGACAAGGTTGGCACTTACTGGACACATTTTAGTAAATCTTCTTTATAATTTTAGAGAAACGACAACTACGCAAACATTTTTGTACATCTTGCTTTGAATTATAATTTCCGCGTGTTTATCAATTTCTCAAGTAATTTCATGTAACCATCAATACGAAAACATCTAATAATAAGTTTGTTGTTTAGAAGGATCATTTACATGTCTATGCCAACTTAAATGCAAATCAGTACAAACAATCTTGAGAACTCCTCAAAACCCTTTGATTCCCATATAAGGTCTCAATTTATAAATTTCAAAAATTTGAATTAAGATTAATGATTTTAATAACTCATTAGATGTTAATACCAAGTTTTAGGTAAACTAGTTCAGTCGAATCTAAGAACTCCAAGTGGACATTTTGAATATGACCCCTTTAGAATGTCAATGTATTTTTATTATGCTACAAATGCTTTCAAGCACTGAAAACATCTTCTTAAGTTTTTGCGTCCATGAGAACTCTCCAAAGAAAGGCATAGATGAAATTAATAGCACTGGCTGACTGAGAGTGTGGTTCTTGTCAAGATGGCTCTGTGGTTGCACAACCAATTTGGCTAAAGTTTCTCCAGTGTTAAATCACTAATATTAGCATCGGCTTTGTAGGTTTGATGAGTGCATGAGCTTGAGGGGGAACAACTTCTGGTTTATTTATTGTCAAAAATATTGCCAGGTAAACTCCTCAAACTTCATGGTGTTCCTCAAGTGTAGAATGCTTTCTATTGTAAATTTAAAAATCAAGCCAAAAGCCATTATTATATTCTTAGTTATAGTTGGGAAACATTTTAACAATTAATAAAAAATTGTCAATTAGTAGCGAAATGGATGCTGTCCTGTTAACTATTCTGTTAAGCCTAGATTATTTTAAGGATCGGTGAAAAATAATTGATACAATTTTTATCACCTCCCTTGAAAAAAGCCAACTTCCAATCCTCTGGACTGACAAAAAAGAGTAGCAAGTGATTCACGTATACAATCTTTAACCTCCTTCAAAACCCCATTGGCCGCTGTTATGCCTACGAAAGTCAAAAGAGAAATGGTTGGCTGTGAGCGAAGTTGTCGATAGAGTTAGTAAGATAGAGATTTTATTCTAAAGTGTATAAAGCTGTTCTCACAAGATGTGGGAAAGTGTAGTGGGATGATTTACTGAAATAGATCTAAATTATAAACCCATTAGTTTTACATCAGTTTTGGGAACCTTTTTGGAAAGTTTGATAAAATATGCTTTGTAAAGTCATTTAACAAAGTTTAGAATTTTATTGGATTGTTAACGTGGTTTCATTAAGGGAAAATCTTGTCTTACAAATCTTTAACATTCTTTGGAAAGGTTACACCGAATGAAGATGAGGGTAAAAGTATACATTTGGTGTATCTGGATTTTCAGAAATCATTTGACAAGGTACCACATAAAAGGCTTGTAAAAATATATCTCTATAGGTGTTGGGATAAGTTAGGTAATTGGATAGAAGAGTGGCAGGATGGAAGAAAGCAGAGGGTTGTTATAAATGGAGTTCAGGCAAACTGGATTAATGTTAAGTGGGGGTACCTCGGGGTTCAGTCTTAGTTCTTCGTTCTTTTTGATTTAGATCAAAAGCTCTAATTTAGTTCATAAGCTTCAGTCTACTTGGAAATATAATCCATAATAGATTGCAAATATCGTCTACCATTTTCTGTCTATGTAAGGGGTGTGTTAATACTCAGGACTGATCTATGCAGTTTATTCTGTGAGCACATTTCTCCACAACTAAAGATTTTCTTCTTTAATTTAGAAAGTTTTAAATTCCCTTGATCTTCAGATTTTGTTTGATTTATTTTTTGCCAGTTTTGAATATCTTTAGAGTAAATATATAACATAGGCAGTGGTAGTATATTTAAATGTTGAAAATGTAATTTTGTATGATAATAATAGCATATATCTGATAATATTTTTGTTTGTTTATTTGAAGTTAAGCACAAAGCTATACAATGGGCTATCTGTGCTTTGCCCATTTCGAGTATCAGAACGCGGTTTTTAGCGTTGTAAGTCCGCAGGCATTCCGCTTAGCCACTGGAGGGCTAATAGCTTTTGTAACTGTATTAAAATTCTTAAATTTGTTAGGTGGGTAACTCTGCAGCAGGTGATACTACATTATAGATTTAAATGAAATAAAGCATAATAAATATTTTTCATTTCATTCTCAAATAAATAATGTTTAAATAGCAATACCTTACTGCTGACTTCTTTAATTTTATTTCTATTAATTTAATGTGTTACTTCCAGTTTAATGAATATTGTAATATTACCCTAACATGCTTAATACTTTTAAATTTTTGTTGAATTGAATTAATATTTATATTATTCTTGATAGATAGACATTTACAAACAAAGTTCTCATAAATTATTGGCCCGCTTTGAATTATTTGATTTGTTTCTTTTATGGAAAATCTCATATATACTGTTTTATGTATATTTAAACATAATGAATTATTATTAAACCACCATCTTATGCATTTTAAATAATTATTTACTATTTGATAACCTCATTATCAGAGTTTCCATTATTGATTAATACTGAGTCATTTGAGAAACTATTTATCTCTAAATTTGATTTCACAAAAATCATTTAAATATAATAAAAACAGTAATGGATCCAAAACTGATAAAATAAATATATTTACAACTTCTTTCTTTTTTTTTGATATTTCTATTCTTAATATTTCTTGAAAATTTCAAAACCGATGAAAAGGTATTTTTCTCTCATGTATACATGTATATTGCATAGTCAGGTACAACTCGATAAATAATGAAAGCGTTTTATTGCTTAGTTACTTAAAATAATCTGAATGATATGAACTAAGATATGGAAATAACAAATCTGTAACTAGAATTATACATAAAACACCGAATTTTTTAAATGATTACTCAATAATTAGTTTTATTGAATTAATAATTTAAAGACTTTGGTCAACTTTTTATATATCGCATGTATAGGGTGCATATGAAAGATAGATATTTTTAATAAATTTATGTGTACTTTTTTAAATTACCCCCCAGTGGCACAGCCGCATGTCTGCGGACTTACAAGGCTAGAAACCAGGTTTCGATACCCGTGGAGGGCAGAGCACAGACAGCTCGTTGTGTAACTTTGTGCATAAATTCAAACAAACTAAGCTTTTTAAATGTTATGTTGCTTATATTTAATAACTTTGTTTTTGTAGTCAGTACATGTTAAATTATTGTATCTATGTCACTTCTTCGCTCCGTGCATATCTTTCATGCATTTTGGACGCGAGGAAAACTATAACGACTTGTTTTATTATCATTCGAATTAGTTTTCCAAAGAAACTGAGAATATCGTGAAGACATGAGAAACCAATATGCTGTACAATAAACTTTCGTCCTGCTAATCGAGACACAAAATGGTGCGTAGCTGTAAACAAGAATATGTACCTTACGTCAAGATTTAATATTTCAGTGAGCAACAGTTCAGTGCTGGGTATTAATATGTATTTGTAAATATTGTTATATACGTAATGCATGTAAATGTTAAATCAAAATCTCCGCCATTTTTCCATACACTTATTGTTCCGGAAAAAAAAATTATAATAAACATTGTTGTAAAAAATTTTCTGCTCACCCCCTGGTAAAGAATCCACAGAATCAAGAGTAAAAGTATCAGGATAACATAGTTCATCACTAAGCTCTGAGCTTCTTTGTTTATCATTTTAACTGGGTTTGATTTAAATAGTTAATCAGCTCACTTATCCTTCTAGACGTTGGTTTCTTAAGTGTTAAACCCAACAGTGAACAAACAGTTTTGTAGTTTTAACTGTAAACAACAATTCCAACTGCAAATTTTTATCACATTGAAAAAATAAAGGAAAAAAAAACTTGTGGAAAAACAACACCGTGGAACAACTATTGATATTCCAATCCAAACGACTTGTTTCACATACTGAGCTTTCATTAGCTAGTTTAAATTATTCTATCCAATCAAGAGAAGAATAGAAAAGTTGTAACAAATAAGAAAATAAATTGAAATTAATTCTAAAAGTGAAACCATTCTAAAGATAATTTTAGCCGTTTTAGTCAGAACTTAACTGCAAGCTTTAACTAGTTTTTTTTATACTTCTTCCATAAAAAATCGTTGGCCCAGCAACAAACCTCAATTTAATTTAGCTACAGACTCTCGTACGTAAAGTCACGTGACTAACGTCATATTGCCGAGACAAGATCTAAATATGGCACTTCAACAAGAAACACTGGACTTGGAACATACCGTTGTTTGCAAAGTTGTTATATTCCAGCATTCGTGTACGAAAAAAAAAAAGAGTTTAAAGTTTCTTGAATGAATTATTATTAAATCGCACTGTTTAAAAACAGTAATTATACTAATTCTAATACTACTCTTTTAGTTTAACACTAAGCTGGGCAACACCAATCATGTCATTATTCTATATTTTTGAAGACTTTTTTTTTTAGTTTTTAATGTTTTTGTGATGATTTTTGTATGTCTAGTGTAGGATTTAAATAATCAATTTATTGAATAAAGAGCTTTTCATTGTGCGATGTTTTTCAAGTTATTTTATACTGTCGAGAAATAAACTGTAATGTTTGTCAGGAGATAATACTCACTACGATCACGATGAATATTAAAATATTATGGTGATGTTCTTCAAAATGTTATTACTTCCTGAATATAGAATACCAATTTGAAAAATCATGATAATGTGCTTCAAGTTAATATGACCCTCTAAGTATGGAATAAAAATCAGAAAATTATAGCTATTTTCTTTAAATACTACTAATAAAAATCATTAAAGACATAAATAGATAAAGAGAATAATTGTACTTTTTTGAAAAGAGTATCTTTTCTTAAGGTTAAAGTTAAAATGGAAAAATCATATTGAATTTCTTTGGAAAGTTATGACCTACCTATGAATAGAATAAAAATCAAAAGATTAGAATTTTTTAATATGCAGGTATTTGTATTTGAAAACGCTTATCTGGATTTACATGGGCCAAGAAAACAAAGCATAGCATAGGAAATATCCGAACTAAAACAGTGGACATTTTGTTCAAACCAGCTACCATAATGCATTATGATATGCTTTATACAGTCAAGTATTTGAAATATTATTACCTATTACTGACTATTGTGAACAGATGGGGGTCCAGAGTAGTGACTTACCGCAGAAAGAGATTGATTTGAAATGCTATTTTACAAATACCCCTGATTTAAAATACATGATGAGCTCATCAAGAATAAACATCTGTACTCAACGGAAATTTTAAAACAGTTTTTAAGTCTCTTATAGTACATGCAATTAACATGTTATAAAATTATATTCAAACACAGGTTAAAATAAAATACATTTATTACGAAGACCGTTTACTCGAAACGTCGTAATATATATTATATATATATATATTATTTATTTATTTCTTTCTTTCATTTTTTCCTTCTTAAAGTTAAAATAAATCATTATGTTTTGACAAATGGGTATTAATTAACTTAATATTTCAGGTGCACAGAAATTACATTCAGTTCAATTTAATTCTGATATTAACGAAAGGACTCCCAGGCAGTGTCCTGTGATGAACAAAAGAGAAAATTGAAATGCTTTTCTAGACACGCCCTCGTTATAAATGCTTAATGGCCTAAGTAAAATGAATTGGAGTTAAAAATATCTGCTGTCATGTATGATTTTTATCAGTTTTGTTTGGCCTAAAAGGCTTCATTGTTTCGGTTACTTAAACATATTACACCACGGTAAAAATAAAATCAAAAGGCATTTGTTTCACAGTCTGAGTTATCATTAACCAGTTTAAACTAATCTATATAATCAATAAAATAATATAAAAACCTGATAAGAATGAAATTTGAGTATATTTATCAGTGCAACCACTGAACAAATAATTTTAGCATTTTCAACCCGAACAAAGCTGTAAACTCTTACTGTTTTTTTTCTACATAAATTAAAAGCCACTTAACTAAGGCAGCTTGCGAAGATTATTTTTAAACAACACAGGACAAGAAATACTACACCAGTAATTATTGTGGTCTAGTATAAAGTTATTGTTTTCTCTTATTCATATACTAATAAGTATTATTTTCCTTGCATACCTTAATATGAGATTGCAATGCTTACCTATAGTAATTATAAAATTATTTACAGGAGTACTAAATCAGTAAGGGACTCGCATATAGTTTGAATGTTAACATAATTATCAGAAAAATGATTCATTACAAAATAAAAGAAATCTATCCTAAAACACTTGTCTTTCAATGCTTTACCAAGATTGGCAATAGTAATCTTGTCTATAACGTTTTGTGTATGTGGACTTAGCTCAGTTAACTAACAATTTTGTTGTTATAACTTCTATATCTTCAGTCTACTTCTTGAATATGCTAATTATTGTTTACTAGCTTAAAGTTAGTGTATAGTGAAAACTTTAAAGAAACATAAATCAATACCATAAAGAAGAAAACACAATAACAGCGTGGTAAAATCATAAATATAAGGATATTATTAAAGTTACTCTTTGTAAGGGGCTATCTGCTGTGTCCACTGCGGGGAATCGAACCCGAAATGTTGGCGTTGCAAGTTAGTAGAATTATCGCTTTCTCACCAGGGGATTGAGTTTAGTGTAATATAAAACTAAATATGTGTTCATAGGTTCCGGCAAAGCAGCCTTCAACTCGATCAACGATGATGACGTGACCGAAACATATTCTTTATCTCTACAGTAGTATTGAAAATTGGTCTAGAGAATCAAACTATAAATTAGTCGATTATTTAAGGATTAGTTTGTTTGTATTTTGATTTTTTTTAATTAGAGCGATTTGCCGTCTGCTTCTTCCAAGTTTCTTTATCCGGGAAATAATTCACAATATTTTAATTAGCCATGATTTCGTATCAGAAACTCATGTTAATGTGCTTGAGTAGTTATAATTTCCTAAACCAAAACAAAAATTAGAAAATATTGATAATCTGTCTTATTAAAGACTTCTCACTTCTTTAATACAATATTGAAAACCAGAGAATTATGACGGTTTTCTTGGAAGATGTCATTTACTAAGGACAAAATTCAAATAGAAAAATTGTTGTAATTTTTCATAAGAAGAGAATAGAAGTCAGAAGATTAAAATTTGTAGCTTTGCATTTATAGTTGTAACTAACACATCTAGATTTATATGACTTAAGAATAAATCAGCACAGTAAATAAAGCGGATCCAAGTGACTCTCCTAGCTTGTGAAGAACAACCGAGCACATTACAATAACTACAGTGTATTATTTCGATACCAATGTATTTTCACATATTCTATAAACAGCAATTAAGCTTATCACAGGAATCTTGCTGAATAAACTCTATGTCATTGACTGCGTACATGAATAAAAACCAGACACACATAACGCACTAATTTATCAGTATAAACGTAATCTCACGCCTATATACGTGCTTTAGAAAGAAGAGGGAATAACGTGAAAAACTGGACTGTATATACACTAAGAGTAGCCCAAGAGTTGGCGGTGGGTGGTGATGACTAGCTGCCTTCCTTCTAGTCTTACACAGCTAAATTATGGACGGCTAGCGCAGATAGCCCTCGTGTAGCTTTGCGCAAAATTCAAAAAACAAACAAACAGTATATACACTATCAAGTTATATTATACCTATACAATGACCAGAAACTTCTTTACAGAAATGTGTACCCAGAACTCAAACTTACCCCTGTATAAAGTATCCACAGTATAACTAAGAGAACAATCAAGATGACATAATTCATCACCAAACTCTGGACCTCAGGATCAATCATTCTTTATACTCAGCAAAACTTGGAAGAACCTAAAGCTTCTAATCCTGTTATACTTCTACTGAACCTACAAGTAGTACTGAACTTCTCTTAAAAGCCATGATATACTTTTCTTGTCATTACCTTCTCATTAGTCATTGAAAAAGAGAGCCACTGAAAAGACGATTTATTTCTGGCTTGGATCTCCCTTTTAATCTCCTACTTAAAATCCTATTACGTTCCTAACTCTACAAAAAAAATCACTGCTACAAAAAATACAATAGCATATTTGACACGAGTCCAAATTTTAAAACATTTTTTAAGTCGTATGATTAAGTAAAGGGAAGGTATTCCTCCGAGCATGGCGCTGACAATTCCATTCATCTGGCACGGACAAAAATATACCTGTTTTTATCACTCTTTCGTTGTAATTGTCTCAGCTTCGAATCTGGGTGTGATATGAAGAGACATAAAATTCATACTATCTAGTAGTATGTGATACGTTTTTCAAGAAAAGAACTATCTAAAAATAATTGATCTTATCCTCATTCCTTTCGTTGTATGTTCAAACAATATTGTGTAAGACTTGAGTCGCGATAGTATTTGATGCTTAGTCAAAATAATGTCAATAAGTATAAGATTTTAGATTATTTTATCAACCAAAAATATTAACTAAATTCAGTCAAGAGAAATGGAATCGTTATTGTATCCGAAAGTGGGGGAAATGTTATTCCCAAATTTTCTTTCACATTAATACACAAATAAGTTAGTAATGTAATTTGTATTTATACGTGCAAGACAATTTTTTATTAATTCTATGCGTATTTTCTGTATACGGAGCTAAATCACAACTTTGTATATTGGGAGTTTCCCAAATAGATAAGCCAGGTGGCTAGGGCGCTCAACTCGAATCTGAGGGTCGCGGGTTCGAATCCCCTTCATACCAAACATGCTCGCCCTTTCAGCCATGAGGGCGTTATAATGTGACGGTCAATCCCACTATTCGTTCGTAAAAGAGTAGCCCAAGA